GGGGGGTATAAACCCAATGAAAAACCTCGGGTCACAGGTTGTCAGTTATCGAGTAAATTCGGCGGCAATCGGCTGAAAAGAAGAACGCTGAAGGTACCTAAGTTTCCGACCCGACGTTGTCGCACATGTCTGTTATCGCATGACCCCGCGGTTTGACCGTTTAAAAAGTTTAATCGTGATAGCCACCGATTTTCAATGAATGACGATATTATTTAGTATTTACGTCAATATTATGATTATTTAATATTAATGATGTTATATTGTTCGTAAACCGAGTTCATGATGTATATGTTAGATTGCTTACTGAATTTCATCCGCCGTATACTAGACACGATATTCGCCCGGCGCATCACGAATTCGCTGTTGATATTCGTTAAGACCAATACCGGCACTATTGTGCCCGTGGGACTGGACCCGAAATGGGAAGTCCGAGACGTCAAAGAGTTTGTAGCCCCCAAGTTGGGAATGACCCCCGAAGAGGTTAGCTTGTACACTCATTATGCTCATTATGTCTTATATATTCACTGTGTATCCAATTTTTTTTTTTTCCACTGATGGGTTGCTCTGATGTTCTGGTAGCTGATGATCATATTCGCCGGCAAAGAACTACAAGACTCAGAATTATTGGAAGAGTATAATCTAGCAGAACAGACTGTGTTACATGCGGTTAAATCCAGACGCAGGTCATTTAAACACAAGCCACGGGTATCTACATGCATAGAAGAAGACGAGGAGTTTGATGATACAAAACGCGCAGCTGTAAACTTTTACGTGTACTGCACTTCACCTTGTGCCAATACAACTGTTGGCAAAATCCGTGTGAGATGTTTTAAATGTAAGAGTGGTGCATTTACTGTGGACGGGGATCCAAAAAACTGGAATGATGTGCTCAAACCTAAAAGAATTACAGGACACTGTGAGATATCTCAATGTACAGTATGTATTTTTGAACTCAATTTGATGCCATTGATTTGTTCTTCTTTTGTAATTGTTAATTTTTCTAAGGACGGGGAGGTAGGATGGTCAGAGTTTTATTTCAAATGTTCTGAACATGTTACCAAAGGGGAAAATGATGAAGCAGTGGCACTACATTTAATTAGAAATAACTTGCATGATATTCAATGTCTAGCTTGTACTGATGTCAGGTAATATTATTTTAATGTTTTTAAGGTAATGACTTAATGTATATTTTTATAGACCAAAAGTATTTGTATATCCATGTGACGATGGCCATGTAACCTGTTTAGAATGTTTTTGTGAGTATGCTATTAGCCGACTTAGAGAGAGAAGATTTATATTTGACAATAATATTGGTTACACATTACCATGCCCAGCTGGTTGCCCTAATAGTTTGATTACCCAACCCTATCATTTTAAAGCGCTAAGCAAAGATCATGTAAGTATTATTGAGTATGTAACAATTCTAATATGGATTGACATATCAATGGCACAATCAAACGAGATGTATAAGAATTAATCTTCTTTTGATAATGTCCAAGTATTCATACACTTGTAGTCTAAATATTTATTTATTGTATTTTTAAATGCTATTATAATCAATAACAAATAATTTACTTCTATCATATTATTGGTTTTGCTATTGACATACACAGAATATACATATTCTGTTATTATGTCACATTTAATTTTCTAAAGTATTTACATATTTATTAGTTTGAAATGTATGAAAGGTTTGCAACTGAAGAATATGTACTTAAGAATGGTGGTGTCTTATGTCCTCAACCGAATTGTGGTGCAGGTATACTTGTTGATGATGACTGTGACAAAGTGTCGTGTATTAATGGTTGTGGGGTAATACTGTTTACAGGAGTTTATACTTAGAAAGGATTCTAAAGTGAATTGTTTTCTAAATTTTAGTATGTGTTTTGTAAGAAATGTCTTCAAGGTTATCATATTGGTGAATGTCTACCAAAAGAAGAGCAATTAATAATCGATATTACTGGGTATTCAGTTGACCCTAAGCTAGTTTCACAGGTATACAATATTGATTAAAAATAATATGTAAAAATACCCAATAAAAATTAATTTGACTATCAACATTTTAGTCTAAATGGGATGATGCAAGCAAAGTAAAGATCAAAGTTTCTACAAAACCTTGTCCAAAATGTCGTACAGCCACTGAACGAGATGGTAGATATTATTAAATTATTTTAGTATTTAAGTATTTTAAACCTTTTATTGTTTCCTTTATTATTTTTAAGGAGGCTGTATGCACATGGTATGTACACGATGTTCATTTCCATGGTGTTGGTTGTGTCAAACAGAATGGACAAGGGAGTGTATGGGGAGCCACTGGTTCAGTTAATACATTATGATCACAGTTTTTCAGTATTTGATTTAAATGACTAATGTATATTTAAGTTAATTCTCTTTACTTTTGTTTATTATGTAATATTATTTTCATAAATGATAAACCAAATGGTGTTTTAGTACCTAACCTTTTTTTTTTTGTTCCCAATATTGTGAATTTTTCAATAAAAATGTGTACATCTAATTTGTTTTGATTTTAATTAACCAAATACAACTTGTTTGATTTAACAATTGCATACTATTATTATAATATAACCTAACCAGCCACTCTATATTTTTCCAGCCAACAGTTTTCCATAAAACATTGCTATGCAATCAATCACTGACGGAAGTTGTAAGTATGTGATGTCACTCTCCATCAGCCACTACTAAAATATTTTTCAATTTATAACGTAATCAAAATTATGTGTTTGAATAACAATATTTTTCTAGTTAAAATGTAAATTAATTTTTCAACTTGAAACATTATTACATAAAGACAACATAGGTATACCGAAACTTAAATTTTTTTTAATGTTTTAGTTTTACTAAATTAACCTGAAGAATTTTTGTCAAATTTCCATTTTTAAGACTATTTAAATTTCATTAATATGATATTTAATGAGAATATTAAATTGTAAATCAAAATCTTGGTTTTACTTAAAAAGTTTATTTAGAATGTGATGACATTTTAAATTTAAAAAGACAAATGACAATGATAAGTAAATAACAAAATACTAATATATATATATAAAAAAAATATTTTTTTAGATACAGATTAAATCTTTTTTTTTACAAAAAAATTGAAATATAGTAAATCAAGAGCTTTAACAGTTAATTGAATGAATAAAATTCAAATTTTGTTTTTTAATCTATAAAAAAATTTATCAACATAATTTTTATATTGAAAATTAAGTCATATAGGTATTTGAAATAAAATTATATAAAATAAAGATATTATGTTAAATATTTTTAAAAGTTGTGTAGGGTGACTACAGTAATATTTACATACTTCTAAGAAAAATTGACCTTTTAGAATTCAAGATTGTTTTGGAGTCCATTTATTGTTTAATCTAAAAAAGATAAAAAGTACTTTAATATAGTGATGCATGACGGGAAGGGTTGAGTAAATAAAGTTAGTTGCAGTTATAAAAAATTATCTAAAAGTTTCCATAGCTGTAACTATAAAATATTGTTTGTCTTTGATATGTTGTATCATTGAGAGGTAAATACTAAATAAGGAGAAAGAATTTTGAAGAAAATACTTAAATTTGACAAGACATAACATAGTTATTATTTATACTGACACTAAGTATAATTCAACATATATTAAAATAAAATGTAAAAATAATACATTTTACTTTACCAATGATCTGGTAGCAATAAGCAGAGCTAGTTATGAAACTACTTCAGCATATTATGTACTTATTACAGGCCAGAAAATTGTAAACTTAATGAAGTGATCGAAAAATTATTAGATGTACCTATGTTTGAACATTACAATAATACATTACAAATGTAATATGGATATACGAGTCTCGATATGTTTATGAGGGTATATTATACTATTGTAATAAAAGATTAAAACCATACCAATGGTTAACACCATTATAATATAATTACTTTGGTCTTGTATCTGTAGCCACCCATTATCAATTAGCCGCTTCACATGCATCTACCCAATCGTTATATATGTCAACTGGTTCTGACAAAAAGCTTGTAGTTGTTTGAAACGATTCAAGGCAAACCCGACAAAACACTTTGCCCACGTTTCGACTCTTGTCCCTGCAATAGTGCAATCACAAACAGGTGTAATAATTCAAAATCGTGTAAAAATACGAACATGAAATTAACATAGCATTAATTATATATTGCTTTTCGACGACGACAAAATAATGAAAAACACTTGACAGTGATAACTCACATTTTGACTTCGCAAGATTTTTCGTGATTGCAAAACGGACAGTTAAACTGCGTGTCCAGGGGCTCTATGGCTTTCCTTTTCGCAGGCGGCTTCCTTTTACTCTTCCTTCGACCCATCGCACTGGGTGACTGCTGACTGGGCGACTGGGCGAATCGTCAACAACTGACGAAAAACAATATATCGCTCCGAGAAATTGGAATTACGTTGTATCACAGACAAAATATTTATTTTTTTTTAATTCAAAAATTATTGTGTGAAATAAGAAATAATTTTATAGTAGTCACTTCTCAGTTTTTTGGGTTTTTTTTACTACATCGACAGATTAATTATTAATTTTAATTTGATCAATATTCAATTATAAATCGGGATAGACTGTAAACAGTAATAACGTCCGAACAAATTGAACAAGCGACAATAGAAAAGATCTCTGAACAATTAAGTACTAGAATTTAGAATAGGCTACTTGGAACTTGCTAGGTACTACTGGAGTACCGCCTAACACAAATCCAGAGACCAGAAATCATTTCACGTTTATGTTTGTCTTGTGGAAGTATAAAATAAATAATCGAATGCCGGCGTCCGGCAGTTGATAAACGCTACAGTGTGGACAACACACATACGAGTCAGGCACTCGGACTATTTGGTTAATGGCAACCATCTGTATTCTATAACTTGCTTTAATTAGTAGTTACTGAGATATAGGAGTTAAGTACATGAACTATTCTGTTAACTACTTTTTTCTTAAGGTATAAAATAATATTTAGTCTAATTCATGGTTATTGGTTACGCACTTTATGTCCACACTTCCACAGATCTATACGTATAATTGTATAATCTCTTATAATATTATAATATACAATAATATATTGATATTTAATTGAATTGCGGAATAAAAATCGACGGAAAATAAAATCCCCGGGGCCCTGGCTTACAACCGAAAAAAAATTCCCCGACAACAATATCACTTACAACCGCATGAAAATGATTGAACAATTAATATTTTTTATTGAATTAATGTTATATGATTACACTATAAATATTTTATTCAAATACGTACTTATCAGCTTACATTAAATAAGTTAATTTACTACATGACACATGTGCCTATGTTTAAGTATAATAAATAATTTTCAAACATTAACAATAATACTTTTTTATATTACTACTGAAGGTATTATGAACTGAGCGGAATTTAGAGACAATCTAGATCAAAATATCGACTTAAAGACTAGTCTTAAATCACCGGAAGATATACAAATTGCCACCTAAAAGCTTACAAATTTAATCCAATCAGCAGCCTGGAATTCCTCCACAAAAAAAAACCCCAAAAAACACTCAAATCCATTTTCAATTCCCGCTTTCACCAGGGAATTAATTGCTCAAAAACGTCGTGCCAGAGCACTTTGGCAACGCTCAAGATTACCATCTGATAAAAATATTTACAACAACACCTATCCTCATCTCTAAAACGTAATCTGAACTAGTTAAAAAACGAATCCTTCAACTCTTGGATTTCCTCTATCAGTGCAAAAGACGGTTCCCCCCGAATGCAACTCGTCAGTGTTTAAAACAAAAACCTAAATGCTCTCGTTTAAAAAAACCGGATGGTACCTGGTGCAAATCAGATGATGAGAAAGCAGATGTCTTCCATTCACATCTTGAACATGTTTTCCAACCCCACCACGATATCAATGACCATTTATTCACAGAACATATGTCAAAATCATTAGAAATCCCACTACCACTCTATCTACCACCTAAACCCTTCTCTCCTGCCAAAGTCCACCACTACATTAAATTATTTCCCCTCAAAAAAGCCCCTGGATTAGATTTAATCACAGCTGAAGTCGCTCACCAGCTATCGAAAAAAAACCTCATCCATCTCACTCATCTAAACTCCATACTAAGGCTCTCGTACATTCCTGTACAATGGAAAACTTCAGTTATTATCTTAATTCCTAAACCAAACAAACCCCCTGACATACCAACTTCGTACCGACCAATAAGTCTTCTCTCCTTATTTGCCAAACTTTCTGAAAAATTAATCTTAAAGCGTGTATCTCGAATAATAAACACCAATCAAATCACTCCAAATTCACAATTTGGATTTAGGAGTAGACATTCAACAATCCAACAAATCAACCGAATAGTTGATTCAATATCGTACTCATTGGAAACGAAAAAATATTGGTCTGCTGTTTCATTAGATGTTGCCCAGGCATTTGATCGGGTTTGGCACCCGGGCCTTCTTTATAAATTAAAAACAATTCTTCCCGCACCTTATTTTCTATTTTGCCAATCATACCTCAACGACCGCTTCTTCGTGACAAAAGTAGGCTCTGAGATATCATCAATTGCCCCTATCCTAGCCGGTGTTCCTCAAGGTGCTGTTTCATCTCCTTTCCTAAATAACTTATACACAGCTGACCAACCAACCACCCCGTATACTTCAGTAGCCGAATTCGCTGATGACAAAATTATATACACTTCACAAAATGATCTATACACTGCTAAATTATACTTACAAAACCACCTAAACAGCTTATCTTCCTGGTATACTAAATGGAAAGTTAAAATTAACAATGAAAAATCTTCACACATTACTTTTTCCTTAAGACAGGGTGAAATACCTCTTGTTAAACTAAACAATCAAACAATACCAACAGTCTCCAACATCCGTTATTTAGGCCTAACCCTAGACAAGCGACTCACCTGGGCAGAACATATAAAAATTAAACGCAATACTCTAAACCTCAGGAGGAAATCACTACACTATTTGATAGGTAATCACTCCAAACTAAATAACCTCAATACCAAACTACTTATTTATAAGCAACTCCTCGTGCCTATATGGACATATGACATCCAGCTATGGGGTGCGGCCAAATTGTCAAATTTAAACAAAATACAAAGATTCCAATCAATCACCTTACGCATGATAGCTAAGGCCCCCTTTTACATTTCCAACCACACACTCCACACAGACCTACACATTAAAACTGTATCAGAAATGGCATCATGTTTACATAAACGTTATCGTCTAAGCCTAGAGAATCACCGCAACCCGTTAATTTCAGCACTTAACTTAGAAACAATACCTGGGAACCCCCAGAAGGCTTAAGAGAAGATGGTACGGCCTAAACTCCTAATCTCAATAAAAAAAAAAAAAATATCTAACAATTTAATCACGTAAAGTGTAGCCGCTGGGGTACTCCTTTTATCAAGTAACGCATGTCAAATTATTAATACTTAGCTCATATTCTTATTGTAAAAAATCTATTTACAGATTGTATATATTCTACTAAAAAATAAAAAAAATAAAAATATTACGATATTATTATTATTATTATTTTTTTTTTATTAGATGAAATAGAATATTTACAATCTGTAATATTTATATACATACAATAAGTAAATTTGATAATATAATAAAGGAACAACATGAATGGCGTGAGGAGGGAGGCCCACCAGTGTGGATACCCTTTGGACGATATTATTAAAAATTAAATCCCAGAAATATAGTAGTACATTTCCTATAACATTTTCCTGATTTTTTCATAGCCACAATAGGTATTAGGAAACAGTCAAATAATTGACTGTGACTATTGTGATTAGGTAACTAGTAACTACATTCATTAAGTGTTGTTTGATAATTATTTTATTATTTGTATTATTTGACTATTTCAATTTATTCAAAATATTTGTAAATGCTAAATTAAAAAACTACTGTTTGATAATTTTTTTAATTTTTAATTTTATCGTCTTTTAAATAGAACTTTATTCATAAACTAAAAATACCTCCTAATAATTAAATTTACATTAACTTCGAAGTATTATAGCGTAATATTTTGTTTTAGGGATTTAATTTTTACACAATATGATATCTTAAAAAAGCACAATACTATCAAAAATACATGTTTTTCTAGAACCAGGGATTTCTTTCCGTTTCCTGTGCATTTTTATTCCGATTATCTATATAATTACATAAATATATCTATGCTTAGGTCATAGATAATAAGCTACAAAAATGATATTATTTGAAAACCTCGTCATTTCAAAAATTATATTTTAAAGCATTGCCTTTGCAACAGTGAAAATATATCCTAGTCAAAAATATGTTGACGAGGTTTTGTCAAAATGTGAACCCAAGTAACACACTAACACACAAATTACTGGATTCACGTGTTCCAAACTGATATGATATTACTATACAGTGTGCAGAGTGTGCTAATTAATTTGAAAAGCAGAAACTCTAATTCGAAATACATTGTAGCTATGAGATATCCTAGTGCAGTTTGTTAAATGTAGTTTAATAATATGACAGCGAGTCTCCCCTTCACCGTGGTCAAAAAAAATTCAAAAAATCTTCAAAATCTTTTCTTTTGATTTCCTAAATTCGAAAATAACCATTTTGTAGAGTAATTTACTTATAGTATGGGAAAAATGACATTGAATATTGAAAACTGTTGAATTTTAAATAAATTGTCATTCAATTAAATTTATTTCTATTAAAATTATATTTTCAAAAATACAGCATATGATATTGTTGAACAATATTATTGCATGGTTTTCACATTTTAATAAATATTGCTAGAGATAATATAAACTTATTTAGGCTCTCTAGTCTCAAACCATTATCAATATTACAAAAATTGACCATTTATTCCATTTTACTTCACTATTTTAATTTTTAAATCGTTGGTTAGGTTAGTTAAAAATTCACCTATTTTGTGGTTAATGGTTATACGATATTATTATCAGATAACACAGCAATCCAGCGACGACCCTTCCCCCGTCAATTCTTTGCTATACGTCTTGGTTTATAGTAGTTGATGTTTTTAATTATACAATGTCCATGATATTATATTATTATAATCATAATAGTAATTATTATTAATTAATATTGATAGTTATTAGTATTGGTTATAAAAATATATAATATTGTGATGATTAGTAACTAATAACATTATTTACTAACTATATTCTAACTTATAAGACTTCATTTTGTTAATTAGGTATACTTTTTTCTCTTACCTCTCGTATATTCTTTATAATTAGTTATTAATTTGAAACTAAAACATTTTATATGGAGAAGACATCAGATACTATAATTAAGGAGCTATTCAACTCTTTAGATCAGAAAGTGCCGTATATTCCTGAATCTGATGTTATAACTACTAACTCGATGGAAAAGTCCATTAAAAAACACAAGCGACATGACAAATCAAAAAAACATAAAAAACACAAGAAAAAATCGAAGAAATCCAAAAAGAAAAAACATCATACCAGGTCCAATTCACCCGTAGAGCACATAGAGCTGAAACTCAAAAAGGATAAGCTAGAAGAAGCCAAATCTGGTATGTCAGTGTCCTTAGATGTCATCATGGAAACAATTGTGAGTACAGCTAATGAAAAAAGTAAGGAGTTCAAAGATATTAAACACGATGAAAATGAGAACTGTCATCTAGATATGACTGTATTAGATGAAAATAAAGTACATACACCAGAAAATGATTCAAATCAAACAAGTAAATAGAGATATCTAATATTATATATTTACTTAACCAATCTGGGGTAATTCTGTGAACACAATTTATTTTTCAAATTTTCAGAATTTAATACAACAGGTCTAAATGGAAAAATCATCATTAAAGATTTAAAAGAGAGTCGTTTATACCATGAGTTAGTTAATGAAGTCCAAGAAAAAGAACGGCTAAAAACTGAAAAATGTAAAAATAGTGATCAAAGTAATTCATCACATTATTTAGATAAAAAAAAAAAAAAAGGTGAGTGTATTATATAAATTAAGTTTTGTATATGTATGTATAATAATGTTAAGCTAACATAAATAACTTAAATTAAGAATTATTACTAGTAATGTTATTGTATTTACTTAAAATAAATCGTATTTATAGAAAAACATAAATCAAAAAAAAAGAAAAGATCAAGAAGTAGAAATAGATCACATACTCCAAAACGACTTAAGAAGTATAGTCGGTCTCGTTCAAATAGTAGTAAAGATAGGTAAGTGTTTTTTTTTTTATTATGAGAAAATATTCCATATTCTATGATTTTGATGAATTCAGTTCTCATTTAATTGTACTTAATGTATATTAGAAAATGTTCTTTAATTGATATTTAAATAATTAATTTCAACATTGGTTTAGGTATTCAAGACATGATGATTTTAAAAGTCGTCAAACTAATTCAAAGAACCAAAGTGACTCAACTACTATGAGTAGAAACAATGATGGTGTTAATAAATCAAAAGAAAAATGCAACCATCATAAAAGATCCAGGACACCAGATAATAACTCAAAATTAATTAAACGTTCAAGATCAAGGGATAGCAAAAAGCCAAAGAGATCAGAAGATTATAGTAGAACGAGAAGACAATCAAGGTCTAGAGAAACGTCTAGGTCTAGACATAGATCTCTCTCATGGTAAGTAAATTCATTTTTAATTCTTATTTATTTTTTAAATAATTGCAAGGTTTTTTTACAGTGAAAAAATTGATAAAAAAAAACTATTTAAAATTGCACGTAAAAATGCCTTGTCACTAGTGCAGCAGGGTGTATTACCAGTGGGAAGTGTTAAAAAAGAGAATTTAGCCAATGTACCCACTAAAACTGTAGATGAACTAACAGGTAATGCACATTTAAAGTATTTTTCTTTACAAATTTAAAATGCAAGATTGTGATTAACTTAAATAATTTTGTCTTATTATTTTTACAAATACAATAATTTATTTACAATTATTGTTCAAAAATGTTTTAACAAAACTAAAAGTTATAAATATTACCTTGTTAGCTTAGTAACATTATAATATTCTAATTTGAAATTAACATAGTAATATCATTTATGTCATCATACAGTTTGTCTGTTTAAGATTTTTGTCGTAAACTTTCAAAAAAGGATAAGGATCATGATGACGATTCTTCTTATTCGTCCGATGATGATGAGTTCAAACAACCTTTCCACCATCCATTTCTAGTCAAGGAAAGACCTAATATAGTCATGAATATTAGAGTAAATAAATCTCAATTAAATTATTCCTGAGTGTTTTCATTTGAATTCCCTCAGATTTATAAACATATAACTACAACCAATATTTTTAGAATGCAACTCAATTACCTATTAAATCCTTTCAAGAAAAAACTATTGGACAAGATATATTGAGACAACAGTTTCCTGTATCCAGTGGCCAAACTCATAGTTTAGCTCTTACTGAATGGATGCCCATAGGTCCTGAGGAATCTGCAAAATTAAATAAAATACTTAAACCCGATGAAGGAAACAAACTTCCTAGCAAATCACATCATAGTCATCTGGCTCCAAAAGTTGCTGCTGTAAGATTCCATTTAACTATTATAATTGTATGATACAATTTATAAGAACTGTTTCATTCAGGTGGAACCTGTTATTCAGCCTATTTCGAGTCCAAACAATGCTATAGTACCCATGGATTATCAGTATGTGCCACCTGTTGTTGAACCTCCAGCATTCACACCTTATGTAAATGAGAATATTATAATTATTTGCCCAAGTGGCTGATCTCTCATTAAACTTAAGGTATTAATTTAGGTTTGATTTCTAGGCACATGGCAATTATTCATTGTTGTCGTTCGAAACTGGACAGTTCACTGGTCATACTGGTGCTAAAGTACTAACCCCTGCAGAACTATCTGCTGGATTTCAAACCTGGGTGAAAAAGGTAAAATTTATAGGAACTTTATATTCCAATTTCTCTTTATTTTGTTAATATACAGTGGGTATAACACAATTTTGCACTATATATTATTTTCTTCAAATTCGATGTTGACAATTTTCATTGGGCTTTCAACCACTTGGAAATACTACCTTAACTCTTAAAGTAGTATAAAACTAGAATAATCGAAAAAAAAAACATTTATGTTCAGCTTAAAAAATTACATTACATTTTGATCATTTAATAAATACACTTTGTTTATGTTGGTCATTGAGTTTAGTCAATCAGACAATATACATTTAATAACATGTTTAGTTATTTAATTTGTAAGAAATAGTCTTGATGTAATTTCAATTGTACAGTTGGAATTATTCTAAATAAGTTTTACACATTTTATATCAAGACATTTTCTTTTGAACCGTATGTTTATTTAGCAATTGCTACATTGCTAAATAAACATGCATATTAAGTGCATGAAAGCCAAATGGAAATCTGTTACAGGCAGTATTACTCGTGTTTAACATATTTAAGCGCTATATCAACAACACCACAATCGAACGGCGGTTCGTATGCTGAACATTCATGGGATATCTGATGCAGCCCCTTGGTAATTTTAATAAATACTTGAATGTATGCACTAAAACAGTGTGTACATTTACAGTATTTAGTTAAATTTTATTTTAAAATGGAAACATACATTTGAAAATACTTAATATGTATTTTTGTAAGTATTAAAATTAATAAATGAAAATACATCATTATATGGATTTTAATGATCATCCAGTTCAACAGATATTTTGTACCGAAAAAACACGACTGTAAAATAATTATTACTTATACAATATACACTATACAAATAATTTACAGTTGATAATTTCAAATTACATACCTTAATTGCTTAATACAATTAATTTTAAATTGTAGGACCAGCTAAAAAATTCTGCTCCTGTAAACAGTGGTATTGGGATTCATTTGTTACAAAAAATGGGGTGGAAACCAGGTGAAGGTCTTGGAAAGAATCAATCCGGATCTTTGGAACCGCTGTTACTTGATGTCAAAATGGATAAAAGAGGTAAAAAATAAAGATAATGTCCTCAATATTGGTTTGAAGTATGCTCTATCTATCTATACTAATAGGACTGGTGGCTGAAGAGGAACTCCAAGGAAGCCGTATAAAGAAATTTTCAAAAAAAGCAATACTACCTGTGTTGTCACTGGAAGGTAAATAGTCTAAATGGGATGACACATGTTTATGTGCAAACAGTAAAGAAACGGCATTTCTTAATAAATAAAATGTATTATTGTAGGAAAACATCCAGTTTCACTATTGAATGAATTTTGTGCAAAACGTAAGTGGGACATACCTAAGTTTAATACCCTAGACGAATCTGGTCCTAGTCATAGGAAAACATTTATTATGACTGTAAGTATTCAAAAATCGAAATAAACAAAAAAATATTTTACCAAATACATTTATTTTATTTAGGTAGTTGTCAATGGAGTACAGTACTGTTCATCAAGGTGTCAAACAAAAAAATTGGCCAAAATGGAAGCAGCCAAAGAGTGTTTAAAAGAAATTGGATTATTAAATGCAACAAATAAATGATTTTTAACATTTTGGAATAAAAACAAATACTGGTTTAAATTATTTGTACACCCCAGATAATACCTATTTTTACAGCATTGAAATTACAGTTCTTTTTTTAAGAAATCATATTTCTGATTAATAATAATGTAAACATTTTAGATTAATGCAATGAGGTAGCCATTTCTTTTCTTAAGAATAATGTTGTAGTCTTTTTTTAAATATTAACAAGTTGTTAAATAAGAAGTGATGAAAGTTGCTGTATAATTCCTCTAACAGCATAAATAGTTAAGAAACAGCTTCTACAAAATTATGCTTTAAAAATAATATAAAAATTAAGTATATTTCTAATCTATATAATAGAACCACTGAATTGATTTAATATATTTTGTGATACAACTTTCAAATATATTATATTTATACAAACCATTATACTTTATACACACATATATATAAATATAATAAGCATTTAAATTTTGAATCACTGAAGATATAATAACTAACATACATTGGTCACATAACCAATTATTTTTATAGAATTTGTAATTCTAAGAATGAAGAATTAAAATAAACCAATATACTTTAATAGCAGTATATCTAATAATAGTATACTGTTTTAAAGGTTAATACTAATAATACATTTTTTAAATCATTACTTATTTTTATGCCTAAGATTTTAATAGACACTTGTGTAAACTTGTGATAATCATTTTTCAAATACTAAGTATCATTACAATATGTATACAATATTTAGTATTAACTACTGGCAAAGAATATAAAAAGGGAAGGGTATTTGATTTTCAATCTAGACTTGTCATGAAGCATAATGAAAAAATGTGTTCTCTAAGAATATATCACAAAATCCAATTCTGAAAGTTATATATTACGTAAAATAATGAAATGTTAGTATGTATGTACTAAAATGATAAAATAAATGAACTTAAAACTAATCAATAAATAACACAAACAAGAAATAGGTAATTCCTAAAACTGCATGTGTATAAATATAACACAAATAAAATATGTAACTCTGGATTTAAACAATTTTTAAATGAGACTTCATATACTGGTTGTAGATTTTTTGAAACTGGCGTTTTGTCAATGGCGGTGGAATCTTGTTTGAAATATAATTTTCGGAATATGTTTTATACATATGTGCCACACAAATTCTAGATTCAAACATTTGTTTCCTTAAGTTGCCAGGGATATTGATCGAGGACTTAACTCTAGGAATACTTTTTATATATATCAACACTTTTTCTTGTTCTTCGAGAGACACATTTTCTAGACTAACTTCGGTATCACTCTCGGGTTCATATAAATTATAGTCCTTGTCCAACAGTTTTAAAGATTCTTTCATGAAATCCGTGATAATTATCTGCTCACAAATTACTTTTTCCTGAGCTGGTTGGTTGGCTTTCATTGCAATTTCACTGTTAGAATACCAACTGTAGCTGACTGGCTTTAAAACGGCATTGAGGCGATGATCAGGAATACCCAATGTATTCATAAAAAACATTCGACACACCTTCACAGACTCTTTATTCATACTTAAGTGGAATGTCACACAACTCTCAAAATTATTATTTGAATTTTCTACCATAATCACTTGTACTAATTCAGCAATTTTACAGTTTTGTTCAGTCACATTTTGCAACATATGGAATTGATTGAAAATTTGTCTTCGTTGGGGACCAGGTACAGAATAATAACATTTTAGTTGACAACCAGGGTCGCAATAAGGTGGAAGTATTTCACCATAACATTCTGTTAAGTCTTGATCATAAATAATAGATTTTGGAGTTTCTGCAACTAAAATCAAATATTGAAAATGTATCAAATATAAAATGTTTTAAAAAGAAGCATGGGAAAGAAAAAATTTAGGTACATTCATTATTATTAAAAAGTAATACTACCTTCAACAATTTTTCTTTTTGACTTTTCAATTTTAGGCTTTTTAGATTCTTCAATTATATTTTTTGAATTTATTTTATTTGTTTCAAATCCTATTTCGGTTGCATCACATGCATCAACTAAACATGAATTAACATTTAAAAATAATATATTTAATTGTAAAAGCAATTTGGCATTGTTGCGCATGCAAATTACCTTTTGTATTAACATTTGCATCATACAAATGTTGTACTCCAATCATATTTTCATCATTTAACATACCTAAATAAACATATTCCAAATCTAATTCATTATTATTTGAAATTTTATTCATCGCTTCTTTATCTGAAATAATAAAATACAATATTATTACATATAAATATTTAATTTTGACTTATGATAAAACTATTTTATAGGGTTATCAATAAGACCTAAAAATAAAAGCTATTGATAAATTCCAAAAATCATCAATATAAGGTATACCTAAATTAGGTTCAATACTTGTACATATTACTTAGTGTACTTGACAATAATAATATAATAGGTAAAAGGAATAATGATCAAATAAAATATTGTATAAGAAAAATACATACATATTTAATTAATTTTAATTTTAATTTTGTAAATTGTATAATTTATATTCTTTGATTTTTTGAAGGATTTGAAAAATGAACTTGGACAAAAATAGTAAGCGGACAGTAAAATATAATGAAAGAAATTATTGTACAACCATTTTTTAAAACCGGACTTTTTACCTGGAGTTAATTTTATAATGTTTTCAAAATATATCATAAATATTTATTTAAATAAGGATAGTTAGTTAATAATTACCGTCAAATAATAAATTTGTCTTTATTGTTTCTACAGACATATTTTTTGAACCATTTGTATTTGTTTCAAATTCCAATGCAGCTGTATTATGTTTCATATATTAACAATCAACAAAAATAATATTATAAAAACAAATTCAATTATGAAAAGTATTCAATAGTAATTCTATGTGCGGAATCCAATAAATATTATTTCATTAGTATTGGATTTAAACATATTTCTTCAGCATAAGAATCATCTAGTAGTAGATTCTTAAAAATAAACCATTTTTACAAAAGTTAGTACTAATAGTAATATTTTTTCAAAAAATATAAAAAGAATGATTCACACAGCACTCTAACCACTATTTTTTTTTAACGATTACGATTTTTGTCATTTTTAAATGTACTAAATCACCTAACCTAACCTAACCTACTATCAAATTCTTGATATTTTTCATACTACTTAGGGTAGGGTTGCCATTTATACAAAAATACAAGTCGGGACACTATAATACCCCCCCCTCCACAACACATTCTTTGGAATTTTTAATAATAACTTTTTTAGTCCAACGTTATTTAATATTTTTATTATATTATAATTTATAATAAATAAGAAAGTCTAAAATTAGAAATAGCACAAAATGTAATAATAGTATTATTATTATCTTATTCATAAATATGATTTTAAATTATCTAAAAAAATTAATTAGGTACACAATTTTTAATTTAAAACAGAGTGGTCTTACTTAATTACTAATATGTGTATTGTTTAAATCTTATTTTAAGAAACCGGTACTTATCCACATCTCGGCCGGGAAATGAAAAATATCGGGACTCTGTAGTAAAAACCGGTAGTGTCCCGGCGAAATCGAGACGAATGGCAACTCTAACTTAGGGGTTTAGTGGCGATGTATTTTTTTTTTAAATGTGAATAACTCTTGATTACAGTGAACTAATTAGAAGTTATATTTAAAAAAAAATGATGTTTCTAATTCTAAATTTGAATAAATAGTTTTTCATCTATCGAAAAAAAATTTATATTTATATGGGTATGCATCGAAATTGTTTTAGAAAAATATAAGACATAACGTCTTTTATCCAGATCCAGATCTAGTATTTATAATAATTGGAACATTTTTATACATTTTAAGTATATGTAAGTAAGTAGATTCATTTATACTAGTAGCATTTTAAAATCACCACATATTCCATATTTCAAACCGATTATAATAGACCTAATATCTTTAGTAGCTACAGAAAGTTAGATTCAACTTACGAAAAACCTTGTAATGAATTTTTAACGGAAAAAATGCAATGTGAATAGAAAATTTTTTTTAAAAAATTGAAAATTGAAAATGTCTATAAAAACTCAGGGTTAAAATATTTTTGAAAATGTATCATTTATAGAAAATGATAAAATAAACAATTTGTGAAAATTTCAAACATCTACAGTTATTTCTATTTGAATTACAACAAAAAAAGGAAAGCTGTTAATGTACAGGTCATATTAGATGCCAAAAAAATTTGATTCACAAATGCCCGTGAAAATTGACTGACCTACCTAACTACAAACAAGACCCAGTTTCCAACCAGAAAAGACGTCAAAGTGAAAATGTAAAATACAAAAATTCAGATTTTGAATAACAGCATTATTTAAGAAGAAAAAGGAAAAGAGCATACTTAGTGAATCATCATGTATTTATATATTTTTTTTATACATTAACTGATTTTTCTATAAAATTGTAATTGTAATTAGCAAGTTACCTTTTAAACTATTGTTTGTATCACATGTAGGTTGAACTTCCATCATACTTGCATTCATATTTACATCATTTAATATGTCCAAATAGACATACTCTAAATCCATATCATTATTATTCATATTCACATCCATGTTCTCTCTTTCTGAAATTTAATTTTTTTTTTTTTTTTTGAAACATATATTTTATAAATTATAGACTTGCAAAATATTACATTATAAAAACAAATTTACACATAATAATATAGGTTGATATCTTTGAAGCATTAAAATTGTTTTGCTAGCTATTATAGAGATATATTAAGTTTTAAAAATGTAGTACACTAAATATATTATTTAATACTATAGTGTCCCATAAGTCACATATCACCCTTAGTACCACTATGACAAATCAATACATTTAAATACAGTTTTTCACAGCAATAAATAAGAAAATTTTTTTGGAATGGCACAAGATAATTTAAAAATGTTCAGACTTAAATTTTAAAATATACCTATTTTCTAGATCATACTTTTCAAGCTGTTAAAAAAAATATATTCAAATTGAATGAAAATTGACTAAGCTATTATAAATTAAGTTATTGATTCATAAGATTAGTCATATTAACATAACGTGAATCGCACTGATACTCTCCAAATAATGAAAGTCTTAGACAAGCTGCAAAATTATCAAAAAAAGCCTTTCAAAAAATGCATTTATGATCTAAAACTCTAAAAAATGCCCTAAAAATATCAAAAAATGAACTTTCAGAAAATAATGGTTTATAATGGTTTGAATAAACGGAAAGTGCTCACAATAATATAATGCTGCAGTTAACCATGTACCCCCTCGCGTCACTATAGGTTGAGGGGGCAAAGGAATAACAGAAGCCATAGTTTTAAATGTATCGACTCTGGATGGCGCTTTTAAGAAAATTTTCTTTGTATTTGAAATAAACTGATAACTTCGGAAAATTAACCCCAGATTTCTTAAAAATACTTGATGTAAACAATGCGCCAAACAAGTAACATGTATCATTTTAGAACACAACAAACTTAAAGATTGTCCAGCCTTGACCATTAAGAGAGCTATGTCACTCAAAAAAGTAATACCATATTATGTGTTATTCCTGTTGGCCACAAAATTAAAAGAGATCTGTGAAATAATTTAGCAATTATGCGTAGTATGGTTCGCTTTTTCTAAAACATCGATACTTAGTAAAAATGCTTTTCCAGGCGTATCTACTTCTTAAGTTCCAACTATAATGTTTGCTACGTGACGACCATCTACATCAGTAATTTCGTCTATAGAGATCCTAATTTGTATAAGTGTGTTTTTGTACATTTGACAAATGTAATTTTATCTTGAAGTAGATTTGTCTGGTAAATTTTTAGTTGTCTATTTTTCAAAAGATTCGAGAAAAGCATTAAGTAGAACTATACTATTATTTAGTACTTATATTTCAATGAGGTTAATATTTTTAGTCATAATACACCTACACGTCAAAAATGTGCTAAAAAATTAAAAAATGCATAAAAAACTTCAAGAAATGCCCCAAAAATTGTTTTGTTTAGAACTGAAGTAGTTGAAACATATTTGTATCTTGGAAAGCATCGAATAAGATATAACCAAAAAAAAAGATGCAAATGCATTGAAATCCGAGCCTTACTGATAATAGATTTTGTTTAAACATACAACACTTATGTTTTTAAAAGGAAGTATTGTTATTACTTAGTTGTAAAAATGTTTACAACAATATGCTCAGCAGATCACATTTGGGTTTGTTGATTTAAAAATTGAAGTGAAATGACCGCTTGAACAAGTCTAGCTAGCTAAATCTCTAGGCTTTTTATTATATTTTAATTTCAAAGGGAGTGTTATAAATATTTTAAAATCGTTAATTGTTTGTACGTCTTATAATACTCATAACTTGCTTTAAAATTAAAATATAATAAAAATGAAGATGCCTTAGATAATAATCTTACTTTAAAATTGTTTAAGAGGTTAGTCACTCAAATTGTTTTAATAACATCTAAATGTGATCTGCTGAGAGTAAAATTTGCAATGTTGAACACTTGTAAGACAGAGAAAACAAATGGCAGTGTAACAACCTTTGAATAATAATACAAATAAATAATGTATAAGTACGATTTGACAACATTAAAATCTTTATCAAATTCATTAATTTAAAATCATAGACTTTACACTAATACACGAAGCATGCCTGGTTAGGTGTTAAGGTCAAGGCAATTTGTGACTTGTGTTACATATTATATACAGTAAATACAGTTTATTATATCATCTATGTGTGGTGTATGATGTACTACCTTAATCAGCGCCCTTATGCATGGACGCAAGAACTACAACCAGTCTCATCTATCAGTATAAGGTATATGTTTAAAATATTAAAAACCATGTATTACCTTTTGCAATTTCTTTTTCAAATGATTCTAGATATTGTTTTGTTAAACTCAATGTAGTCTTCTCTTTAGGTTGAAATTCTTTAATATCATTGACATCATTCAAAACTTCATCAATATTTGATTTATCGCATTTTGTTGAAGAATTTAATGATTGCAGTATTGGCGTAGTCTTCTCTGTAGGTTGAAAGTCTTTGGCATCATTGACATCCTTCAAAATGTCATCAATACTTGATTTATTGCATTTTGTTGAAGAATTTAGAGATTGTAGGATTTGAGTAGTCTTCTCTCTGGACTGAAATTCCTTAATATCATCGACATTGTTCAAAACTTCATCAATATTTGATTTATTGCATTTTGCTGAAGAATTTAATAAATGTTTTTCTGTTGAATAGTTTCATTAAATATTATAATATACAATCAGCACATAATATTTATTTATTAAAATGTCAGGTCATTACTTTTTAGAACTACATAAGATAATTAATAGATAATTTTCCCCTTACCTTTATCGTTGTTATTTATTACTGTTGAATTTGAAAGGGTTGTTGTTTCAAGCATTTTATCATATTTTTTTAGTTGTTGATCTATTTTACTTTCCAATGAATTTAATAAAATAGTTCTTCCATCGTTACTTTGTTTTATTTTTTTTTCTTTGACTAACAAAGTATTTTTATCTACAACTTTAAATTCCAGCCTATTAAATTCACTTGGATTTATATGATCATTAACATTGAGCTGTCTTCTATTGTAATCTTCATGGTTAAACAAGTTCTACAAAATAGATGGTATATTATGATTTAGTCTAGAAACTGAACATGCACTGTGTAAACATACTTTCGGTTTTATTGATGGGACTGCAAACTTATGAAGTTGAAAAATATTAGCAACCTTTGTTATGTAATAACTTTCAAAATGATCAGAGCATATTCTATTAGATTTTAATGGCTTCCAATATGGTAATCCAATAATATTTAACCATTTTTTAAGCAGAAACTTGTTTTCAAGTGGAAATCTAAAAACAAAATATTTGAGTATACATTTAAAAAGATAGTTTTAGAATAAATTGCGTTCAATTACATTCAGTTTTATAAAATTAATATAGTAGAATCTACTGTCCTAAGTCTCAAAAAAATGTGAATTATATTTTAATAAAAGTATATAATTACTAGGTGTTTATATTATACATATTGCATAATTCATGAGTTGTTTGTTCAATCCAGCAGCCAGCAACTCAGTAGCAAAATGAAGGGGACTATTTGACTATTGTAAGTCTAAGTATATAGATTCTGAATAGCCCCCTTGAACAATATTGATTGATAATCATAAATCTAATACCAAATTAATGATGTATTAGGTATATAGTATACAATGTATTTCGTTGTTTCGCATACAACTCAAAATCGAAATACTATTATGTTGTATTTTGACTTGGTCACATTAGTATTTTTACTATAAACAGTTAACATACCCTTAATTATCCTAGTTATGCCACTGACAGTAAAATTTGTAGGGCTTATCTGCTTAACCTTTTATGTTTATATTTTTTTTATTAATTTTAGGTTATACCATTACTTATAAATAGGTACTATAGACTACTCACTGCAGCACAAAATATGTTGCGCTGAATTTACTAGCTGGTATTTTGTCTAGGCAACCTAGACTAGGTGCTGTACCATACAACCTGGCCACTCAGTTCTGGACAATAACACCAGGATGGCTAGTAAATTTAGCACAACATTATTTGCACCGAAGTGAGTGATCTATAGAATATATGTACAATGGTTACACTAAATATAGTTTAAAACAACTTACTTGAAAAATAATGTATTTTTCCCATTTTTTAAAGATGTTTTCTTACAGCCTTGAATTACACATACATAAACTGATGTTGACTTCCTTGGTAATTCTGTTTAAAAAAATATATTTTTATAAATACAATAATAAATTTAAAAAGAATTATTTAGATTTATGAGTAATAAACTTTACTCACTGCGAACATCATAAGCCGGTTTTTTTCGTTTCCTTGTAAACTTTAAATACTCATATGATTGTAAATAAAGAGTTGGTACAATATAATTGTTTTTCAGTATAGTTTGTCTATACAGTTTGCCATCTCTTCTTTCCACATTAGAAGTAAAATCATCGGCCTTAAAATGTATTGAGCATATCTTTGACATAGGATTAAACATACCATTGTGTCCACATAATCTCCACCAAATTTCGCAAAGACTTCTATTATCTCTGGGAAAGTTGAGAAAAAATAATCTATCAAACTGGTTTCTTGCATTTGCATTACACAAGACAACGGCACATTTATTATCATACTGATGGGTCTGAGAAAAACAAAAACATTATTATGCATTACTGTATTAGCAAACAAATTTATAGCAATAACAAAATAACTATACAAACATTTCCAAAACTCGAAACATATGAAGACAACGACACAGTGTCGAATTCGTTTTCTGAAGGCGACGACAGGGAATCTTGGTCGAATGATCTCAGGGCTCGGTTTGTTTTCTAAATAAAACAAAAATCATACGGCCGCCATATTAAACACTTAGGGCACAAACGGTGTAAAAAATTCGAATAAAAAAAACGGTCTTACTCTTTCGAATGAAACGTTCTTAATCGGACGTTCATCACATGGATCATCACTGACGTCACTGAACTTCATGTCTGTGGTGTTCGGTGTATCGAAGTCGATGTCCGATTCATTGACATCGCTCGTGGAAGAAATGTCGCTGGAATCGGTGTCCATCATCGCGACTGTTGAATAGTAATCTTTAATAATGTCCGTCAAGCCTCTTACGCACGCCGTCCCGAAATCGTGCACAAGGGACACACTTATATTGAAAATCGAGAAACCATTTCGCACAGTGCACAGTGCACACCGAACCACTGCCGTCTGCGTCTCGAGCAACTGAAATGTGGACGAGGGCACGCAGGACGCCGGGATGGAAGAAGATAAATGGATGACGGTCGACAACAAAATCCAATAATAACGTTTGGCGGAAAAAATTATACAATAATGTTTAGGTAATACCCAAAATTATTATTACATTTCTCATACTTACGTATAAATGTACAATAATATAATATATCAGGCACTGACGCTATTATTAATTGGTATCAACAGTTGTGATAAAAAGTTATAAATAGAAATTAAATGTATTCGTACGGCGCATGGCTCTGTAGAGTGTATTACAATTTACAATAATAAATTATACCTGTATTGTGGATATATATGCATACATACTAGTATACTATAAAGTTGAATATAAACATGACCTAGCGTGTAACCACGAATTAAAATATACATCAACATATTAATATATATCTTAATTCGTGCGTGTAACCCAGGCTCAGGTGGTCAGGTTACTCGAGAACCTTGATATTTAATAATATTATTTAACAGTGGGCATTGAATTTGCTATAGTACTATAGTAGTATGGTGACATTGCTGTAACGCGAACGTTTTTGGTCGTAGACCACCCCGGACTGAGAAAGTGAGAACTATCCTAGTTCGTGCAGTAGACAATAAAACGTACTGGTAGGTATTAATGGGTTACATTACTATTCACTATTCAGTATAGGCGTAGGGTGGTCAAATTTTTTGGGGGTTTAGCTTTAGTCCTTCCAGGGGCAGACATGTAACGACTGGTGAAGGGCTTTGTCCCCCCCCCCACAACCGGCAACCAGTGTACATCCACAAATATACATCAAAAAATACAAATGACGTGTGACAATCTAAGATTTTATTAAAATATTCTATTTTTTTCTTTAGATTAAATCACTAAAATATCATCAGAATTGATACTATTTGATACATCTCTTTGAATATTGACAATAGCTAAAGACGAAAAACGATCATGACTCATGGTGGAGCACTGGAGCGTATATAAATTATAAGTATTAATTCTTCGCATGGTTAAAAAAGACCGTTCACAAAGACTCTGAAGAAATTGGTATACTTAAAGCCAAGTTCAGTAGTTTACCCCCCCCCCCCTAACTACGTCTATGCAGTATTCAGTATTCACGAATATAATATTTTATTTACTATAAGTTCTCCACAACTTAATTTTTATATACACCAGTACACCAGTATACCTACGTCAGAAACTCAGAACATATTTTATGATGCGATTTCATAATTCATGGCATAGGTAATAATTATTACTAAATACTATTTATTCTACTGCAAATAACTAAAATGATACTTCATAAAAATGTTTCTACTTTTCATATACCTAATTATAGAAATACTTTCTATAATAAACTGTCAATTAAGTCTTAATCATTATTTAAATTTAAAATAGGGGATAAGTATTTTAATAGCTTTTAACTATTAATATTCATTGTTTCATTAACTAATACATAAAGATAAAAAGACGAATCGAATACTAATCGATGTTGATCGGCTTCTAATATCATCCCTCTCCAGTTTTTGTGTTAAAATCGAGAATTAATATAAGCAGTAGGTATACATCTAATGACTAATATTATAAAATAAAATGTTTATCTTATCGAGTCAAAATATTTATGTTAGGTACTTTAATATTCAAAAACTGGAATTTCAGTATAAACACACAAATAGGTAGTTCCTTTTATCTCTAACTATCATAACTTTATAAAGTTAAAAGTTATTTAATAAAGGTATGACACAAATGTATGCTAGTAAATTTGATCGTTTAAAACTCTGTTAACCCTAATTTTGTTATTATTTCATATTTTTTATTAGTTGACAATGTAAAACAATGTGTTAATTAATTGTGTATAAATTATCAATGACAAAAAATAATTATCACCACTGGTTATCTTGCAGTATTCTCGATGTGTCGCACGACTTTTTTTTTAGTTGGCGATTCGAGAGCGAAAAACGCGCGACAAGCTCAAAAATGATGCGATACCTCGATTCGTATGAGAATTTTGCAAAAAATACGACTAGAGTGTTTATTTTTAAATTCGAGATAATATTCTAAAAATAACTTTAAAAAACCCAGATTTTGAAGTTAGAAAAAAAATTCCAAAAAAATCTTCATTGTGGCATCACAGTGAGTATGCGTATACTAATTACCTCAAACACTTCAGAAACACCTTGTATAATGGTATACCTATGGCAAAACAATCGAAATAACTTACATGTCATCACTCTAACAAACTCAATAATGTAAAATTAAACACTAAAAAACACAATATTATTCACCTGATGCAAAATAATAGAGATGAGGAAGTAGGAGATAATTGTAATAAGTAATAACTATAATTACGCTAATTATTGGTGGGGGGGGGGGCAATGAGGGGTTTCTTTAGTCCGAGTCACAACAAGCAGGGCCGGACTCGAGGGAACGAAAAGTTTCAGGGTTCGGCGGTGCGCGACTCTACGGCACAGCCTCGGATTGCGCTAGCACCGAGATTATAGTCTTCGACGCTCGCTCCGAGCTTAGGTCATCGTTTGTCGCGGGCACAACAGTCAACGTCTTCAGCACCTGCAGGGACCGTCACGCGCACTAGCCGCTCGTCGTCAACCGTCCGTGTTACTTGCGGCCGTCGTGGCCGGGCTTCGTCCGCTGCTATGGTCGTCTTCGCGTCACGAGCCAATGCGCCCGCGACCCGCAGTACGGCCGCGAGAACTCTGTATTGGTGATCAGTAGCCTGCACTTACTTCCAGACATCATTTTCACCACCCATTTGCCATCACGTACCCCCCACATCGCTCGTCTTATCTGATGCTTTTTTTTTGTTTAATTTATATTGCTTACTGTTTTTTTGTTGTAATTTTTGTATCTATTTTTGTATTGCATATTTTCATTCATGGGCATACAAGTATACAACTAATTAAACATTTTTAATAGAGTCAAAAGCATTTCTATACCTGTTATTTAAACATACTATTGTGAACATTGTTCAATTAAAAATAAAAATTTTGTTTTCACAGTAAAATGTTGTTTCTTATTTTACGTTATACAATTATTAATAGGTACGATTTTGTTTATTTCAACAGAATAAGGGCTCATGAAGAATATTAAGTTATTAACCAATTTTTTTTTACTATGTAAGTACCAAATTTTCAGAAGAAACATGCACTCATCTAGCAGATAATACTAGCAAGCCCTTAAAGTGTTGTGTTGTTTGTTGTTTTAGTTAACTATAATTTATACACTAATACTTATCCTGTTCTTTATTTATGTTATAAACTACTTTTATCATTTTCAGTCACACAAGTGGGTTGTGAACGGAGTTTTTCTAAATTAAAATATATTAAAAATTATTTGAGAAACTCAATTACTCAAGATAATTTAGAATGTTTTATACATAGAAAAGAGAAAATACTCATGAGTGTAGAAAAAGATATATTTTAACTTCTAATAGTAGGTACAGATAGTGTAATTGATAAGGTTGCAACCTAACAATGAGTCTTAAAAAAAAATATTAATGTATTATCTATAAAAAATAAACAAATCTGTACTGAGAGTATCTATTACTTATTAGTTATTATATACCTAGTTTTGTACTGTATTGTTAGGTATATTAAAATAATATGTTGATCGCTCTTATTTTTTGGGGGCCCTTATTCAAATTACTTACCAGTAAAAAATATAAGCATATCCGCCACTGTATAGACTATTAATCTGTAGCGTTTGTCCGCGTACACATGATGAAGACAGGACATGATAGGTGTAGATGTGGGTGGTTATTTAATTTAACGTGAATAATCTGATAATTTTTATTTATTCAAAATGCTCCACAATTGACAATAAGATTCAGACAATTATTAAAGAGAAATAAAATTTTCAGATCAGTGAAAATTTAAACTCGGAGTGTTCAGAAAGTCAAAAATATTTTAGGTCCAAATAAATGAATGATACACTGGCGACTGGCGTGAAGGAGCTCGTACTAGCCTTAGGAATATCACGTCTGAAAATCGGACGTTCGAGGTCTATCCCTCTACTTGTTCTTATCCCTTACGTTAAGCGCTGTTTTCTCTCGTCGCGGCGGTCTAAGCCCTTAGCATAATATAACATGAGACCCAAGGTCCCATGCATGTGGCCGTGTGCCCGTAGATGGCTTATCCTTTGATCTTTGCGGGATTCCATCAAAAACTATATTGCCGTACTGCCAAATAATACCTACTTTTATTACTTTATTTCTCACTGCGTTTATCTTACCCTCCCATCGTAATTCTCTGAAGTCGGTCTTTTTTGCTGTCTGTGGTCAACGCTAAAAGTGTCATAGTTAATACGAATAATCATTGCTTTCCCAGGGTCTGCAGTTATATGATAAGATAGTTTAAATATTATAATTATCTAAAAGGCGATGTCGCCTGAGCATGTAGCAATACTATGGAAATTCTGCATTTAAACATTTAGTTTAAGTATCAATAGTGCTGGTATAATTTTTTTAATATTGATAAGTTTTTCTTTTTGGACTAAACCCTTATCTTAAATAATCTATCATTTAGAATTAATATTCTAAAAAAAGCCTTAAAATTCATAATACGTAATAATAAATTACAACATTCAATAATAATTATAATCTTTGTAATTGTATACATACATATTTTGTTATTGATTCAGAAATACATCAAGTATTTACTTATGGTCATGATTATAAAAATATGTTTCTAAAATTATATCTAAACAATTACATTTCTTATGTGAAAAATACCAGATATATTATTGAAAACTAAAATCTGATCCATTTTTCGATTAACGTTTTAGTTTTTGAGATGAGTATCAGACAAATTATAAAAATACTGTAATAGAATTATATGTTGTTTCCGTCTTACAAAACGCACACAAAATAAAATTTAATGTTTAGAATAATCTATTTAATTTTGTTATTTTTAATATTAGAGTTAATTGATTTATGATAATTTTAAAGGCAAGTTCATTATCTATGGCACCAAGTGTTTTTTTTTATATTTTAATTTTGAATTAAGTTATGAGCTTGAAAAATAAAATACCTAAGAAAAAGTTTCTTTGGTCATGGATAATATTCTTTAGTCACTTTAATTTTAAAAATGATAGAGTAAAATGGATTATTCTAAAGATGACATTTTTATGCGCGAGTAAGAAGGAGACAACACAGATGGGTGTATAACTTACATTTAATTAAATATACTAATAATAATTAAAAATACATATACATACTTTTTTTTTACCAACCAATGTTTTTTATGTATTTACACACAATAATTATAGAATAAGAGATCTCTTAAGATACTAAACAGTAAATAATAAATATAAAAATAATAACTTATAAAGAATAATAATAAAAAAAAATATAGTAACATTGTTATTCAAAAATGGGATTCCATGGATACTATCTGAAAGTATCAACAAAATTCTAAAGTTAAGTCTATAGCAAGCAATAAAATATGACATGGATTTAAACCATTTCCAAAAACGTCTTCATGTACTCATTGTAAATTTTTTTAAACTGACGTTTTGTATATGGTGGGGGAGTCTTGTTCTTAATAAAATTTTCAGAATATGTTTTGTACATATATTCCGAACAAACACTGGTTTCAAAGTAATGTTTTTTTAACGTTCCAGGTATTTTATACGAACTCAAAACCCTAGGAATACCTTTCATGTATAGTAATACTTGTTCATATTCTTTAAAAGGTACATTTTCTAAACTAACATCTGGATCACTTTCAGGCTCAAATAAATTGTAGTCTTTGTCTAAAGGTATTAAAGATTCTTTCATAAAATCTGTCATGACAACAGGCTCACTTATTACATTTATTTGTTGTGGTTGATTGGCTTTCAATGCAATATCTCTATCAGAATACCAACTATAATTGATAGGGTTTAGAATGGCTTCGAGACGGTGTTCAGAAATACCTAATGTATTCCTGAAAAAAGTTCGGCAGACTTTTGTAGGTACCTTATTCCAAATAAAACGGTATGTCGGACAGCTTTCAAACGTGTTATCTTTTTTTTTAGACATACGCAATTGTACTAATTGAGCTATTTTACAGTTCTGTTCAGTTGCATTCAACATCTGAAATTCTTTATAAATTTGTCTTCGTATGGAAGCAGACATAGAATAAAAACATAGTAATTTACAGTCCTGGTCACAATAAGGTGGAAGCATTTCACCATAACATTCTGTTAAGTCTTGATTATAGATTATAGATTCTGGAATTCCTAGAAAAATAATAAACATAAAAAATGTGTTCATATGAAAGCAATTTTTTTTTAACCCTAATAAAAACTATATTATAAATAGCATTAGACTACTATAGAATACAATAGCATAATATACAAGGGATTTTTTAAACACACTATATAATTATATTAAAATAATATTTTTTATAAAATATTTTTCTGAGTTATTCTAATTTAAATACTAAGCTTATTAAATACTTTATAAATGGTTACGAGCTCGGTAATTATAATTAAGTATGCAATATGAAATATTTGTGAATAATTACTATTTAGATAAGTTTACTCAGACAAATTTTGTTTTACTACTTAGATAATTTGTTTTACTCTTATTGGTAAATATTATAACCAATAATTTTCAATACAAAGTAAAAATTTCAAGTATCCAAGGTTATTCGTTTTTGAATTATAACAAAATTAGATAATAATTTGATAATAAATCATTATTTTACACCTGAATATTTAATTTCATCGACATTTAAACTTAAAAAGCTCATGCAATATAATTGTAGGATTACCCTAAACTTTATACTTTAAAGGTGTCCATGACCCAGAAAAAGCTAAGGATCTATGACATTGGTTTAAAAATAAACTGTTCTTACCATCCATATGATTTTTTTCTAGTAGTTCCAGAATTTTTGTTTTTGAATTTTTCAAAATACTTTTTTTTTCAAATGACAGTAAATTTTTAGCATCGTCACCATCCAACGTGTCTAAGTATATATAATCACAGTCATTTCCATTATTTCTTGATTTTGGAATCATATTTTTTTCTATTACAGTAAAAATAGTTTTTGAAGAATTAATTGATTTATTTTTGACAATACAATAAATATAGAAACAAAAGAAAATGTTTTACTATTTTAAAAGTTTGGACCTATTTTGTTTCTTTTTACATACACCATATTTGAATTAATAAAATCAGAATTTTAAGGAAAAACAAAAGTTGGTTGTAAATTAATTAATTACCTTCAAAAATATTTTTTTCAATTGATTCTCTATGTGATTTCTTAACTACTTTTGAAGTACATTTAGTTTTTGATATAGTAGTGATAGTTGAATCATCAATATGCATATTTTTCCAATTATTTTCATCTGTGAAAATAATTAAATAATTATTAAATTAAATTGCACAAACCATTGGTAACATATTATTATTATTATTCAGAGGGAACGATAGGATAGTAATAAGACCCAATGCCCAGTCGATTCATTATGCACTCGACCAAACATACGCGTGTTTTTGCAATACATGCATAATGCAAGTTATTTAAATAATTTGTTTTGTTAACAGCAATATTGTTTAAACATTTAAAATATATACTCTAAACAAGTTAATTGGTTTGTTTTTATTTTCTTAATCAAGTATGGTTATTGGAATAAAAAAAACAGAATTTTGAAAACTTCAAGTGTAAGTTGTAAATAGAAAAAGTAAAAATGAATAGGTAGATAATTAAGTTAGTTTTAATATAAGATATTATTGAGATGGATTCAATACAAATATGCCAAAGTGGTGTAATGATTTGAATTCAGAAAAACAGTACGAATTTTTTAAAACTTTAAGAATTTGTGTTAAATAGGAAAATAATAAAAATGTAAATCAGTAATAATGAGTAGGTGGGTAATTAAGCTAAATTTAGTATAAAATATTAATGAGAGAGATCCGATATCACACCCCAGTAATAAAATGATTTGAATCCACGAAAACGTTGGCGTGAACAGTTCCAAAATGCCAATTTTTTAACTTTTCTCATAAAGTATAAGAATGTACAAGCAACCATCAAAATGTTTTAAAGAAATGTTTGCAAGCAAAGATTTAAACAAATATTGTTCAAAATTGTATTTTTGATTGTAATAATTTACTATAGTTTTGACACGTAATACATGACACTCACGACGCGTTTGTTTTTTTTAAACAAGGAATTATTTTTATTATAAAGAAGTCACTTTGTTTAAAAATAGATATTTAATGTTTCAATAAGTGTTTATTAAAAACTCTTTTTGAAAGGTTTTTTGAATACTGAACATTAAGTTCTTTATTTTTTACATTATGCATTTAAAGTTTTGACCAAAAAAATGAAGCACCCTTTACAAAATATGTTGTGAGCTACTTCACTCACATTAACTTAAATATTCAAATGGTTATAAATAAAAAAAATTATTTGTGTCATATTTGATATTTATATGTTAGAAGGCTAGATTATTTAATAAACTATAATAGGATACCAAGATGTTAAGAGATTTTAGTCACTAAGTTAAGGATGAAAAAAAAAAATAAAGTTTAGTATTAAAACTGTGTATACCTTAAATACAATAAATTAGTAAATTACTCACATTTAGTTTTATTGTTCAATTAAGTAGGTACATTAATAATTTCTCAGAATGTATAGCTAACATGCATCATTTTAAATTTTTATTACCTTTATTGCCATTCATTTTTGCTGAACTAGATTGGAAAGATGATGTATTAAAGATTTGTTGGTAATTTTCTGGTTTTTGGTCATCTAAATTATTTTCCAATGAATTTAACACCAAACTGTCATTCTTTTTTTCTTTTGTTCTATCCTTTACTATCAAAGTGTCTTCTTCTAAATGATTAAATTCTAAATTATTAAAAATAATATCAATATTTCTGTTGTTAACTGCAGATGCATGTTTTTTATCATGATTGTGTTCAGAGCTTATAACAAATGAATTCTACAAAGTAAAAAAAAAATCTGTGATAATTAAATGACCGATGAAATTGTTGTAACCTTACAATTGTATACATACTTGTGGCTTAACTGATGGGATAGCATCATTATTTAGACCATAAATATCATTAGTCATTAAAACATCATCACTTTCAAAATGATCAGAGCAAATTCGATCTGAAACTGATGGCTGCCAATTGGGCAAGCCAATACTATCTACCCATTTTTTGAGCATAGTTTTGTTTTCCAATGGAAACCTAAGTGTAATATCAAAATATAAAATGAACAACATAATATTTGATCAAATATGATCTAGTCAAGAGAAAAGGAAGAAAAGAAATCCACAAAGTAAATGACATGTTCAGCAGATTTGAACTAAATCTGGATCTTGTCAAATATACAATGTTGTTTATATCATGGGCCGGAGTAAAGTCACATAAATACAGAAGCCCACATAATGGGCTCTTTTTTATAGAATATTATTTTTATAAGATTTTATTAATGGAACTTCTTTTGGAGGGACATTGTTTCTGGCATTCATTAAATATTATTACTTTTAAAACTATTTCATAGCATTAAATAAAAAATATCTATATTTATAATTTTGGAACTAATAAAAACAACTACGTTACTTAAAAAACAATGTCGTTTTTCCATCTTTCAAAAATGTCTTGTCACAGCCTTGAATAATACAGAATTCAATTTCTGTTGAATTGTTTTGATTACCTAATGATAATTTTTTTTTTCCAAAATATTAACAACAATAAATATGCATTTATGATAACCTTAAATTTAGCTATACTTACTATAACTATCATTCACACTTCTTTTTCGTTTTCTTGCAAACTGTGTAAATTCATGCGGCTGTAGATAAAGAGTTGGTACAATATTATTATTTTTCAAAATAGTTTGTCTAAAAAGTTGACCTCCTCGTCGTATAGTAATAGATGTAAAATCATCAGGATTAAAATGAATTGAGCATATTTTTAATAAAGGATCAAATTTGTCTTTGCGCCCACACATTTTCCACCAGGTTTCACAAAGTGATTTATTATCCTTAGGAAAGTTGATGAAAAATAATGTATCAAACTGGTTTCTTGCATTTTGATTACATAATACAACCGCACATACTTGATTTATAAGCTGGTTTGTCTAAAAATTAAAAACATTACTAGATGTTTACTTGAAATAATAAAATAACTGAACCAACATTTACAGAACTTGTTACAGATGAAGACAATGACACAGAATCTAATTCTAGCATTGATTCTTCAATCCCTACATTTTCAAGTTCAAATTCAGTGTCTGAAAGTGATGATAGATAATCATCATCAAATGCAGTAGCTTCATTCGAATTCTAAAAAAAAAAATTCTATAGCAATTAGTTTTAATAACTCAAAGTTATAAATAAATTTTAAAAAAATAGTCTTACACTATAATCACTAAAAGATGATGTATTTGTTGAATCATAATCACTTGATTTCATATCACTAGTATTTGGTGTATCAAGTAAATCGTCAGAATTAATATCGCTTGAAGACCAACATTCACTGTCTTCAGAATCTGTCAATGTCTTCTCATGTGCACTATTCTATACACAAATACATATTTTAAGCATTTCTCATAATTTATATTATTCTTAATTTATTTTTATACTTTATTACATTTACTTACATTCTCATCTGACAAATAGAGTATGGGCAGAGCACATGGTTTAAGCTTATATTCCTTATCTACAATTTCATAATCACCAGCACAAAAGTGCTTTTCACATATCCTACTTTTGTCAATTGGTAACCAATTTGAACGATTTGTCGCCATTACCCAAAGTTGCAGTTTTTCATTATCATCAAACGGGAATCTACAATATTGGTAATACATCACAATGATCTTTTAATTATTCTTATTAAAACATTCAAATTTAAACAAAAATACATACTCATGTAATTTAACTCCATCGTCAGAAGTCTTCAAACATCCTAGAACAGAACAACGATTTTCCATCGCAATGGTACCTACAAACTATCTCGTGCTTCCTAAAATAATTAAAAATGTCTTTTACTTTATATTTAAAACAAGTTGCATAAGTATTTTAAAGTAAAACTACTATAATTATTAAGATCATCTGCTAGTACTTTCACTGCACTACTAGTTGATACTCCGGTAGAACTATAGTCAATACTACTATTATGTGTATATTATCTATATAGCAGCCTCTACGATGAACAGTAATAAAATATTATAATATCAGTTATTGTTATCAATTTTTATCAATAAAATACAAAATTAACGTTTAAAATTGTAATCAATTAGGTATCATAAGATATTATCTTTGAGTGATCACGGACGTACTCTTAGATCCATACTACTATATAGTATAAGGCCTATGCTTAGATCATATACAATATCACTATCAATATCATGTATATGATCTAAGTATTGGACACAGCTCGGTATACGAGAAATACACACATGGCTCCATCCATTGTATATGATCTAAGCCCTAAGGACGTACATATGTACGTCTGTGGATGGGATTGAGCCATTGAGCCATGATGAGTTAGGTTTCGAGATTCCTTAGATTCAGTGGTGTAATGGAGCGTATACTCATAACAATATTTACAAAGAAATGCGTTTACTTGAAAAAAATATTTATTTTATAAGTATACGGTGGACGGAGGTAAATGGGAAAGCGCGTATTATTTTATTAATTGTTTTTGAAGATTTGAAATGGGTCTTTTAAATTCTATAGTGTAAAAATAAAAATAATATTTTCAACATATTTATGGATTTTATATTTAAAAAAATTGTTGGTTGATACTGATAATGAAGTAAGAATAATGATAAATGTTATATTCATGTACACTACAAAAATTTTTCTGGTATAGATATATAGAACAAGTGTCGAGCGTATTGAGAAAAAAAATTTTTAAGATACATTTAAAAAAATATGGCGTATACACAAGAAATTTTTTACCAATACATCCCTGCTTAGATTCAACCTATAGATAGCCGATAGGCCCTTACCACAGATATATAAACATATGTATGACCTTAGTATACTTACTATACATTAAAAAATACTGTATTCCAGTGTATTGAATACTATTTACTAATAAGTAATAGACTGATTAAACTGGCCTTATGGATTTTGGTTATTGTACTTTTATAGTTTTGTACACTCAAACCTTATATCAGTTAAAGATAGAGAGCGCTGCTGACTTGTGGCTGCACTATAATAATTAATATTGTGCACGATTAAAAATTGTTTTCACAGGTGTAAGTTGATAAATTAAAAAAGTAAGTAGAAAGTATATTGTGCCATTGTGAGCAAGAGGACCATATAATGAATTCCAGGTTTTATTTAGCTGGATTTAAAATCCACCATGAGCTAGGTAGGTTAGGGTTAGGTTAGGTTAGGCCGTTAGGGGTATGCCTGTGAATTGGCCAAATCGGGCGATTGAGGTCTTGAACTCTGTCGTGACTTACCACAGATATATATTAAACAAGTATATAATTTTAATATATATATATTATCTGTGTGGCGTATATTAAAATATAGGAAACGGTAAACAGCCGACCCCTCGCAGCGTACTGCGCCATTGTGACAGTAAAAGTACCCTGAATACGGTTAGGTTAGGTTAGGTAAACAAAGGTCTAATATCATTTTGGTGTACCGACTCGTTTCCCAGTTTTTGACTTCAGATCATAGGTAAACAAGAACCCGATCAGCTGATCGAGTGTCGCTTCCATAGTATCTTAGTCCGTGGAATATACTGGAGCCGCGGACTCGTCCACTTTCTTATGTTACGAAAAACGGGCCGTCTCAATTGCGGCTACCCCCAGCACCGTATGGCAAGAAATTGAATCTCCATACAAATTACATTGAAAGACTACACATTTTAACTTAACATAACTCCGACATAAATGGTCACATTGCGCTAATTTTGGTACCAACATTTTTGTTTTCATGTGGACTTCAAATGTATACCTAATACAAGTTAAAACAAAAATCTCTGAGCAACATTTTTACTAATAAAAAGTATCCAAAAATATTTATACATTTTTAAATAATACTAATTTAGATAGTCTAATTCTTTAATTACTTTAATATAATTAATAATACAAATAATTAAATAATTAATAAAATTAATATTTTAACTACCAAAAACAAAAACCGTGAATACTAAAATAATAAATATACCGAATTGGCAATCGGGTAGGGGGAATCTGTTTTCGCCCAAAATCAACTTTTTGGTTTTCACCCAAATTACTTTTTTTTACCCAAACACAAAAAAGAGTGATTTGGTTTTCGGCCAAAGAAATATTATTCATAGTAAACGATAAAGCATTTTGGTCACCACTGCCCATTAGGCAAAAGTGGCGTAAACTCCAGAATCTAAATTAAATTATACCTTGCCAATAAATCAGATAAGTTATAATTGAGCTGAATGTACGGACACAATTCGAGATAAAATTATATGCCACGGTCGTTCGCTCGTGCCGAATAATCAGACAAGTTTGTCAAGTATATATTCGAGTTACAATTTATTTTAATAGATTTTACTTTAAGCTTAAGATGTCCGTGGTGTTTTTAGAAAGCAAAAGAGGAAAAAAAATGATTGTTTTCAACAAATAAAGTATAATTTTGGTTCGAAAACTATTTCAACTGGCTTAATTCGTTGGCGCTGTATTAAACGTATTTGTTCAACAAAGACTTTTAAAAATAATTTTTTTTAATATTATACTATTTTTTTTTGACATGTTTTTAATGTAAGTATATAAAATTTAAATTCGTTTTTCTATGTTTTTATATAGGTATTATATTATTTACAATAAAAAGGTATATGTATACACATATAAAATGTTTTTCGTTTACTATGAATAATATTTCTCTGGGCAAAAACCAAATCACTCTTTTTTATTTTTGGGTAAATAGGTCATTTGGGCGAGAACCAAAAGGTTGATTTTGGGTGAAAATATGTACGACCATCGGGTATACTCCGCGTAGGTAAAATAACATTTCTTGCCATACAGGAGTGGGGATAACAAAAAACTCGACGGCACGTTTTTACATCGAAGTCCGCGCTCCAGTATATTCTTACCTATCTCAGTGGTGGTAATACGAACTTTGAGATTAATCATCAATGCGATTAGAATACGAATGAACAACACCCGCATGTGCTGTCTCCGTGTCTGACGAATTACCTACAAGTGCGTAATATACCAAATTTACTCTCAGCAGATCACGTTTAGCTTCGTTAGATCTAAAATTAGAGTGACTTGATCTATTATGAAACTTGTTGGTGATAACTAATAACTATTAAGTTGTAACATTATCTGTGTTTCTATTTTGGGTAGTTCAATTTTTTAGAAAGTTAAAGGAGCACACAACACAAAAAATAAGTTTTTTTATTTGAAAGTATGTTCAATTCTAAGGATAATGGTATAGGTTTTACGTTTCTACTCACATTATTCAATAAGTTATGAGCAATTGAAAAAACACGTGTGACGTCACTGGGCCGGAGTCATCGTAATTGCCTATCTTATACGTGTAAAAGTTCCTCGCTGGTAAATAATAAATAATAAAACATAATCATAATAATAATCGCAATAGTCGCAAAAATTATAGTATACATAAAGTTAATCGTGCTTTATTCGTGTGTTATATGAAATAGCTTCTAAAAAATTGTCAATTGTCCTTTTTCCTTCATTGTAATCCACGCAGTGCCTTCGCTGGTTGGTTCTTCCCTCAAGATACTTAATATATATAATAATTTTAAAAAAACATCATTTATGCTTATTGTACTTTTTTTTCTATTTACAGATTGTATAAACTAGATTAAATAAAAAAATATATAATAATTATATTAAATATAGATGTATTAACATTTATTTTTAATTAAAATTTTTTTGGAGGGCTCTTTTTCTGTGGGTTTTTTTTCCATGGGCTTTTTTTCCTTGGTGATTTCTTTTCTATGGGTTTTTTTTCCATGGGCTTTTTTTCGGTGGGTTTTTTTTCCGTGGGTTTTTTTTCCGTGGGCATTTTTTCCGCGATTCTCCTCGCTTCACACAACGATTTATCAACCTAAACATTTTATTTTTGCAATTTTATTTACATGTAAATATGTGGTTTTATGTGTTTAAGACGATGCAAGAATCAGAATTTCATTATGACGTTTAGTTTTTTAAATCTTAAAAGAGACAATTTGGTTAAACCTCACGTCATGGCGAGCGGCGTGTGGCGTTCGAACAACGTGTCCGCCGTTTAACCAAAATGTCTGTTTTAAGATTTTTAATACTTAAAAAACTAAAAGTCATAATGAAGTTCTGATTCTTGCATCGTCTTAAACACATAAAACCACACATTTATACGTCAGTTAAATTTTAAAAATAAAATGTTTAGGTTGATAAATCGTTGTGTGAAGCAAAGAACTTTTACACGTATAAGATAGGCAATTACGATGACTCCGGCCCAGTGACGTCACGCGGCTATTCTACATCTCTTAATATCTCTTAAAGTAATATTTTTTTTTACATCGTATCTTCACAAAATCATTTCATATAACCATAACTACAATAATTTAACATTTAAAAAAAATTTAAAGAATTTTTTTATTTGTGTTGTGTACTCCTTTAAGAGTATATAGAGTAATCTCGGTCCGTGCTCCCGACTACTAAAAGCTACATTCAAACAGCACTGGTACACAGATGATTTGAAATGCATTTAGTTATATTCTTGAATTGTTGGTAGATTATATTATTATCGGTATTAATATTTTTAATACGATATGATAAATTGTCTATTTATCTTAGTATAAATAATATACTTTGATATAATGGTAAAACTGGTAAAAGTATTATTTATTTTGCTTAGGCTTACATTTTTTGGGCCAATACTTACTAAAATGTATTATAAAATGCATACACTCTGTTTTCCACTGTCTGACAACTGATGGATGTGGTTATCAAGTGCTAATAGTATACGCTGTTGATAAAGTTACTAAGTAGAAACCTGAAACACGTGGTATGTGAATATGTTTATGTTTATTGAGTCATCCCATTTCCATTCGTTGGAATCTAGGGAGTACTTGCAACAAATAGTACGAGGATCGCTATGGGAATGAATAAATAGAAGTAAAGAAAGGAAGACTGAAAGAAAGTTGGTCAGATAGAATAGAGGATGATATGAAAATAGCTGGTGTGAATAAAGAAGAGGTGAGGGACAGAGCATTGTGGAGGTGTAGGAC